GACCAAGACCCCTTAATTCCAACCCCGAGTTGTGGAACCTTAGCTATCTGGTTGGGGTCTGGCCTTTAATAATTACTCATGTACTATTCCACCCTTGATACCAATATTTAGTTCTGGGTGAAGAACATACCTGTTCTGGATGTTGTGCAGTTTCCCACTTGGGTATCACTTTTATCTTGGTACACCCCTGTTCTTTGTATAATGCCTCACTGGCCTCTCCACCTTCTCAATGTGGGATTCTAGCTATAGTGTCAGTGAATGGTAAGTATGTTTTGGAAGCTAACATTTTCCTAAATTGAAAATGTATTTCCGATAATATTTTCCTCTGGTGATACGCTCCTGCCCTTCCTCCCCACTAAGAGCCAGTGTTAGTGACTGGGATGGCTTGAGTCCCAAAAAAGTGATTACATTATCTGAATGAGGTGCTTATACATGTATACAGTACCTGGATTGATGTTGGTGAAGAGTTTTGCAAATTAGATATTGCCAAGGGCATTCAAGTGGTGTATAAAAGACTGGAGCAAGCATGATCAATGCTTAGATGGGCAAAGAAGTAGAAACCCTGGAGATCGAAAAATAGCTATAGTGTCAATGGAGGTAAGTATTATTGTAAATACATTTTCAATTTAGGAAAATGTTAATGTAGAACCCTATTCAGAGCCTTGTATGGAGTGGGATTGTAGAGCTGTGTTGGTTGCTTGAGGTGGATGCTTACTTCTAAGGAAGACAGAATTTAAACTTTGACATCCTTGAGAGAACTTGTTTGGAGGATGTTGCAGATCAACTTCTTGTTATGATTTTGTATTAAAAAGTTAACAAGTTTTATTTTCATTAAGAATATATGGATTGTAATTTACCGACTTGCAAAATACATACTGTTAGATTTATATGCTGCAATGACTGGAAAAGTTTTGAAAACTGATACATTCATTTATCTGTAGGTGTTTTTTGACATTCCATCCTTTCAAATTATGTAAGTCTTAACTCTATGTGTATAGTGGGGAGGTTTTAAGCTTATCGATCTTTTAATACTGTCATATTGGTAATTGTTTTAGTTCATCAGTGTCTTGTTTGAGGACATTTTTGTTTAGCCTTTTGATAATGATAACCTTTGTATGTTGATCTGACCAGAGTTGAATGATTCTGATGGCCAGTCATTTTAGAGGATGTTGAGATGTTTGGATGAGAATATTTTTAGTTTTTAGTGATAGAACTTGAGTAAGTCCAACAATGCACACACACATTGATTTTCATTTGTGATATCTATATACCTCTTTTGTAGATCCTTTCTCCTTTGTGTCTAAGCTTCCGTAGGAACCAGACTGTGAAGAATCTGTAGTATTAGTCAAAATTAGATGCTCTTTACTTTTGTTTTTAATTTTGCATCCCAAAATCACATTTATAGAAAGCTAGGTTTTCTTCTATAAGTAAATCTGCAAGTAAAGTTCACTTTTATATCTACACACATTTGTTTTCTGTATTTTTCTGTTTTTAGTTATATATTTTTTCTCTTTAGAATTGATTCCACCCTCTTAAAAAATATTATATTGATAATTTATATACAAGATGAGAGTTATAACTTTATTTTTGTGTTGAAGTGGGTCAAACAATAGGCCCATTCACCACTTATCGGAAACCTCTTGTGAGTCATTTAAAATTGGAATGCCTAAAATGTTTAGCAATCTCATTAAGGTGTTTTATCTCACTTTATCACAAACTTTCTTATCCAGTCTTATTTACAATCATGTTTTTCCTTCATTTATTTGACACAAATAATTAAGAGTAAATTATTAACACTAGACATTATATTGTTAGAATTTGAAGTTCTAGAACGTTTTAGCTAGATTTAATGCTTCCTACTAGCTTTCATTACTTGAAAATACTATCTAATATTTAGCATTTGGATAGATAGCTTTGAAATCATAGTTGGAGGTTTATGCATTCTTCAAGTTAAAAAAATACCACTGCAGTTTATGTAGAAAAATAGGTAAAAAAATGCTATATTATTTCTTATGAATTTGTTTATACCTATTTAATTTTCTAGAAAATATGTGGTGTATATAAATCGAGTATTAAAATGTTTTATTTTAAGTTACTGAAATATCAAAACACCAATGCTTAGTAACTAGTTTGTGCATACCAATTTGATGTTTTGTTTTAAGAGTTTATATTATCTTTTTATTTAGTAAAATAGTCAAAGGTCAACAACATTATTTTCCCCAGACCTACCTGTAGAATATATGCTACAGATAAGTTACAATAATAATATAATGCAATAAATATGAACAAATTAATCCTTTATGTACGTTAAACATTTAAATTATCTTTTTGTTTGTTTGTTTCAGAAAGGATTCCATATTATAAATGTGTTCTCCATGTTCCCTCTCATGTGGCTTCAGCATATTCTTCTTGGATTAGAACTTGCATTGCTGGCATACTTTTTTTGTAAGTTAATAATTTGTTTTATTCTTTAAATAGAAAATTATAAAACTACATTATCAATAGTTTGATTATAATCAGATCTTTATCTGACTAAGTTTGTTAATGTAACCTATTTTTTGCGATATAATATTTCATAGTAGTAAAATAATTAAATGGTAATCTGAGTTTGTTTATACTCTGGGTATGATACAGAGCACAACTCATCTATCCCATAACTATCTAGATGATCGTGAGGGCATTACTTGAAATAACTTGCTGGTGATGTTTTTTCCATCAAATTCCTGGAATCTGTTGATAGGTCTGAAAGGAGTAGCATTGTCAGTTTCTTAATATTGTTGAGCCATATCTTTTGTTGTCTTTCCATTCTCTCTCTCTGTGAGGATATCTAAAAATCCAAATGTGAGGACCATGTGTCCAAACTATGTTAATTTTCCTTTTTCTTACTGTGGTGAGGAGGGGTACTTGTGTATTGGCCATTAGTTCTATCTGGTCATAAATCTCTTTGTTGTTTGTGTTTGTAATATAAGGAATTCCAAAAATCACCTTGTTTCAAATGTTTATATCCTTCTTTCTATCTCAGCATTCAATGTCCATGTTTGGCACAAGAGAGAGTGGAGATCATGATGGTTTTAAGTATTCTCATTTTTGTTTTATTTGTTTTTATTCCCTTTGCATATGAGTTGCAGTTTAGACATGCATGTTTCACAACACTGCTAACCTGATTTTGAATTCTTTGATGAAGCTTCTTTCATTTGCAGAACTACTGTAAAATAAATCTTGAGTAGCTTTTCACGTACTCTGACATGCTGCAATTATGAAGAAAATGGAAAGAAACACAGTGTGTTCTCAGCAGTTTGAACATGAATGTATGTAAAAAGAACCACAGTGATAGGAAACATGCCAGCACCCCAAAAAATGGCATTTTGTTGGATGAATAGCTAATCAAATATAACAAGTTGTTAGTAGAGTGTGGACTTGTTTTTAAACAACTGGTACAGTTTACTAAATAAATAGACTGGATAAATAGACTATTGTTAACAATGAAGTGGTGTTACTCTTTTTTAACTTTTCCTTCTTCCTGTAAAATGTCTGTTTTAGTCATTTTCCAGTCTTCTTTAGAATTGGGTAAGTGGCAACAACATTTCAGCACATGAACATGAATCTTCATCAGTCTTTTTAGGTATGTACTAAACACTTTTATCATCTGTGTCACTCCTTCATGTATATTCTTGGGAATGGCTGTTCAGTGGGATAGGATTATGGTTGAGTAATGATAATATTTTATATGATTTGGGAGAAGACTAAGAATGAGTAAATTTTAATGAGATTTATCCTGGTTTTCTCTAGATTTCTGAACTTTAATATATGCATGTGTACTTACATGTATATGAATGATGGTTAAATGTTTGTTATGTGTTGACTCAACCTGTTCAATTTTTGTCTGCTGTGATGGGCAAATACAAGTACCATTCTTCATAGAAAAAAGACGATCATGAGGTTATTTTGGAAACTGATATTCATGCAGAAATGACAAATATGTTATTGCAGACTTTGTGAGTCAGATATTAGTGTTATCCAAATAGGTTTTTTGACATTAAGTCAACATAAAAGGAAGTTATATAAAAATAAATTACGAAAGAAAATTTAAAAATAATTCAAGTTTAACAGAGCATGAAACCTGTTGCTTTGCTTGCTGAATTAAGCAATAATTGATAGTATATCTGTAGCCCTCTATTCACATTAACCAAATCACAGAATCATGTTTTTTTTATATTGTTATGGTTGTCGTGTTATTCAGAATATCAGCTGTAAAGCTTGATCTATAGTAAGATTTAATTATTTCATCATGGAAAAACCTCTTTTGAGCACCAGTTGCCATGGTAAACACCAAAGTTATTTTCACACAGTGCAAAATGATTTTAATTCTGTAATAAATGTGTAAAGATCAAATATTTTAATACAGATTTTATAATACCATCTTTCTTTTCATTAAATGCCTGTCCACATATAGAGTCAAAATTTGTTGTCTCCTGCATATTTGATGTCTAGATTTACTGTTTAGACTAATATAAATCAGCATCAGAAGACCAGGATTTCTGAGCTTTTAAGAATTTGAACTAATGTGGATTTATTCTGTTTTTTATTAAATACAATGATTTTAAGTAATAACATACCTGAATTTTGAACTTGGAAGTACTGACAACCACATTTTTCTTGGGCTCAGTTATTTAAAACATTTGCCAACATATCTTGTAAAACATCATGTTGTTAGCTGTATCAACCCATGAATATATTTTCCACCAGCCTTCACTAAATACCTTCTTTCTCTCTCTCTCTCTTTTCTCTGCTCATATAAAATTTCCATTGCTTTAGCCTTTTCTTTTGCAGCCACAGGCTCATCATTTAGTGCCTACAGTGAAGCCTAATTTCATTAAATCCATGAGTTGTTTGTTGTTGTTTTTAAGCCATCAAGCAGAGCTCTAAAATGCAAGTACAAAGAAATCATGCTTAAGACCTATAATTAAGAAAATGTAAAATATTGATAGGCAAGATCACATACTTAAGCTAGTATATTGACAGTTGTTTGTAAAAACAAGTTGAAATGAGGCACATAGCTGAAAATAACTTCATAGTTTAACAAAAATCATTCATCATTCCCTAGTTTAAAACTTATTGCTTTGTTTATTTCTTTTATCAATAAAATTTTACATTACCCCCAATTATGTGGCATTATGGTAGGACAATAAATTTGTAACTTTAGTGGTACAACAAGGCATTCTAATGTACCAAGGTCATCAGTTAGTCATATCTTTCAAGCTTTCCCATTGTTACTTTATCAGTTATTTGGTTTGTACTAAAAGCTGAAGAAGTATGAAAACCATTTTTCAGAAGAATTACTATCCATATGTTGTATGATAAGCAAATGACACTGTGGGCAAATTTTCTTGTCTGTTTTTGGAGACTTAGAGTTGTTGAATACTTATCTATATATATATATATCTATTAATCTTTTGAAGTTCAACTGCAAAGAATTAGCTAACTAAAGATACAAAAATTGGATACACTCCTAAGTGTTATCTGCAAAGTGACACAAGCCAGTGTCCAAAATTTCTGTTTCATTGTTCCGTTATATGAGCTCACATTTGCAGTAGGAATTGTGATTTGTTAGCCAAATTCTTAATATAACTAAAGTTGATTTAATGGGAAAATTTGGTGAATATAAAATAGTATGTGAATATGAAAAAGGACGAACTAGAAGAAATTAAAAATACAGAATGAATGAACACAAAAGAAATATTAAAAACAATAATATTACTATTTCACCTTTAGTAGAACATATTAATGAAACTAAATATGTAATTCAATGGGAAAAATTTTTATTTAGCACAACCTGAAAATGTTATTAGCATGAATATATGTGAATCTATTGAGATAATCAAATATAAATAAAGTAAATTTAAGTTATTGAATAAAGATGATGAACCTGATGGAAATGTTGTCAGCAGTTGGTATGAAATTCTTTAATATGTAAATTGTGTTATGGTGATTTTTTGTAAGGGTATAAATATGATTCTTGCAGAACATTGCACTTCTAACGATGGCAAAGTAAAACACGTCAAAACATGTTGAGTGTATGAGACTGTTTCCAATCTCATTGAGGTTTTTCTTTTATCCTGTACAGTAACCTATTTAGTATTTTATTGTATTTTTGAGACTGGGAACAGTCTCATTTTTAGAATTGTGTACAAAAATCATTGTTTATTTTAAACTGGGTTTTTAACTTTGAGCATTTATACAAGCGTCAATGAATTTTAATATTATTTTATGTTCTGTTTTGTATATTTATTCCATATTATTTGGTTTAGTCATGAAATTGTTCCTTCTTCCAAGCTTTTTCTACAGGTTTCTAGGAATTATTAATGTTAATCTTTTCTGTTTTTGTCATTAGCTAAGTGTATTTGCTCTCTTTTGTGCAAGAGAAGTCCTAGACTGGTTTTTAGGGTTAGGCATGGGCATTCATCTGCTAGCGTAGAATCATACTTTATTCCCAATTAATATGTGTATGACAACTGATTTACATTTTTTTATTAAATGTATGTAATGTTGAGGGTTTTCTGCTGATTGTTTTATTTTTGCAAGTTGTTGGATGCTCTTTGTATTCTACCTCACACATCCTGATTTCTAGGGCACAGGCTTAATAATACAATGTAATGACATGTATTGAACTCTGATGCAGAATTTGTTTGTAAATTATTGATTCTGTCATCAAGTTTTGACTACTTTTTTTCTTCACTTTTATGCGAAATTTTTTTAAAGTTATTGTACTATCCAATCATAAACTTGCTGCAGAATCTCAAATGTCTTCAGGCAATATAGTTTATTGAACATATTTTCTTCCTTGAACAATATGTTGCTTCTTTACACTGGTATCTGTCATTAGTATATTAGAAATAAATGTTTGATACTAAAATAAAATACAGAAATTGTGTCTTTAATATTAATTTATCTTTGATTACTAGAGAAAAAATCTAACTGATCAGTTTTATATGTTTAACTTAAAATGCTGCTTGATACTTCTTGAGAATAAACTTTCATATCCTATTTAGTTGTAAAAAAAACTTTGCATCACAAATCTCAAGAGGGTAGTAGCGTTTTCATATGATTTTTGAAAGCATGTATCCCTATGTTACAAAGTTAAACTTTCGAGGTACAGCATATTTACATCCTGATTGAGAAATGTAAGGATGAGCTTCAACAAGAAGTGTGAAATGAACTTTCTGCATAGATATCTAGTTATCACATACAGATTTTTGATTCTTTAACCTTGTCATAACTAGTAAGTGCCTTTCAGGTATTGAGTGCACACGTATATCAGATTTCAAAATTTAAGTAACAATGATATAATTTAATGAAGTTCCAACAAATTTTAACTCAAAAATATTTTAGAATTTATATTTGTTCATATTTTAAGATTTCTTTATCACAAAGAGAAATAAAAAATTCCTTGATAGATTGTTTAGGGAGAGCATTCATAATTAGTACACTAAAATTGGTAGCAACTGCCTTTTGTAGGAAAAATATTGTTTTTTCTACGACAGGCAGTTGCCACCCATTCCATTGTATTCATTGAAAGGAATTCATTTCTGCCAAACTCTGAGAAACCTTGCCTGTAACCAATACATTTGTTGAATTATAGGTTTATATTTGCTATGAAACCATCATTGAAAGGAATTCATTTCTGCCAAACTCTGATAAACCTTGCCTGTAAGCAACACATTTATTAAATTATAGGTTTATATTTGCTATGAAACCATCATTGAAAGAAATTCATTTCTGCCAAACTTTGAGAAACCTTGCCTGTAAGCAACACATTTGTTAAATTATAGGTTTATATTTGCTATGAAACCATCATCGAAAGGAATACATTTCTGCCAAACTCTGAGAAACCTTGCCTGTAAGCAATACATTTGTTAAATTATAGGTTTATATTTGCTATGAAACCATCATCGAAAAGAATTCATTTTTGCCAAACTCTGAGAAACCTTGCCTGTAAGCAACACATCTGTTAAATTATAAGTTTATATTTGCTATGAAACCATTATCTCTTGAAAGCATAGGGATTCATGTCTTGTTTCTCACATAAATCTTTCTTCTGTTTTAGTGGTTTTTTTACTGCATTTGTCAACACCCTTATATGATGTAACAGCACGTGGTTTGAAAAATCACAAATGAAGCTCAGCTTTGAAAGTAGCTGTAGGCTATATTTAAATACAGTTAGATCTAGCATATTATAAATTATTATGCCAATGAAAATAAAATAAAGTGATTTGAGCAGTAATTTATGATTTCTCAAATATATTAACTACCCAGAGATCTGTAGGAGCGAACAAAGGATTCTAGTGGGAAAGTTGAAACACTTAAAGACAAACAAAAGATCTAAGGATTCTTTTTATAGTTTCTTTAGATGTTATTTTTGTTCCCGAAATTGTTTCTGTGTCAAGTTGAAATCTCTACAATAGATGACAGCAAAATATTTTCTTGCCTCAAATTCCTATTTATTGAATTATATATTAAGTTTATTGTATTCAAATAATGTACATAAAAGAAATAATAGTTTATTTATTGAAAATAAATCATATTTATTAGATATAAGTTCATCTCAACCAAGTATATTGTTATCAAGGATCATACCTAGCCTGATAAAGGTAATAGTGATGCCATTTTGTGAGTATTTGCTGTATGTTTTTATAATTTATAGCCAGAAGTGATCACTATTGCAATTGGCAAAATATAGTATCAACAGAAAAATGTTAATTAATAAATAGCAAACAATTTGAAACTGACTAGATGTATAAAGTGAAACTTCCTGATCCACAGTAAAAAAAATTGATGTTCCAGGACAAAAGAAAATATTTTTAATGTTTTTTTCAAAACTCTTTCGAAACAAAATGTTCAGAAATTTTACAACCTGAAAAAATGAAAATAAAAATTTCATTTATTATTTATATGAGTTTTCTTAACCATCTTGCTATTGCTAGGTCAAAGTGAGCAGTTACATTCAACATTTCATTAAACTACTCTGTTATCAATGTATATGAATAAACTTGGCATCAAAATGTAGTTAATAAATCAAACTTTTATGCTTTATGAGTTTTCAAGTTCTTAGTTTTATAAAAAAATATCTAAAACAATCGTCAGTCTCCTCTAGTATGAGAATTGTAACATTTGTTCTCTAGGAATTCTCTCTTCTTTAATTTATTTACCATTCCTATCTGAAATATGGAATTTAATGTAAATTACTTATTATAATGTAGATATTGCTAAAACAAAGTCTAATCTTTTATAGCCTTCAATCTTATTTGTTTACAGAGTCATAAACTAGAAAATCAGGCCCACTTGCCATGCCTATCTGTTACACCATCTCTTTCACAAATTGACAATAATTCTTTTTCACGTTTTATGCTATATCATTTACAACCAATAGAACCAAAGTTTTAATCTATGAAAGGACTTACAATGCTATATTATTTTCAGTAGAGATTACTGTCCATTTCATCTTCAGTTTGAAAGATTATCTCAGATAGTGTTCAGATTAATTAGAAAAATGGAATCAATTTAAGCCCTTCTTGTCCTAGTTAAAAAGCCAGTTAAATTGTAATAGTTAGAAGACATTGTTTGTTTTGTGTTTGTTATTATTCTGTGATTCTTAGGTGTATTATTTAAGTAGATTAAAATTATTTAATATACTGGTACCATCATTACAAAAAAAGGCTTAACTTTCATGAGCAACTGACAACAAGAAAAACAAAGAAGTATACTATGTATCTTGTTTTTCTTTATTTATGGTTATAAAATTAATTAAAATGTAAAAATTAGAAACTTATTAGATTCGATAATGAATAATAACTGCTGAGTGATGTTCAACTTGTGTCTTGGGATATTGATTAGACACGGTTCAAAAGGAAATTAAACAATAAAATTAAGTATAAACAGATGTAGACTGTTATGAGCCTTAAGTCTCCAGTCATTTTACAAAGGGATAATTTAGACTTATTTCATATTTTTATGGTGGTTACAAGGTCAGTCAAATCCACTGAATCCATATGGGGTTAGGGTAGAGAAAATAACAGATAAGATATAAAATTTTACTGAAAAAAAAGTTGATATTTGTTTTGAATGATTTAACAATTACACAAATGAAATTTGAAAATTTTCAGATGAAAAACACTATTTAATCTTAACATGAAAATCACTTTGCAATTGGAGCAGTCAGTACTTTGATTGCACGTGTTCACGGACAAATCTTTAGCGAAAACACTTAATTAAAAAGTATAATTTTTTGTGTACAAAAACCTTGTACTGTTTACTGAAAGCTTGCCAAATTTTATGAAAATGTACAAAGCATAATAAATGCTATAATATGGGAACTCTGATAGTTGTTTTGTGGTCACACAATCAGTCACATCACTGATCCTCGTATATATTATAGAAAAAGCAATACTATTAATGTCAAATTTATTGTACTTATGTCTCCAAGGGTGTTTTATTTTTACTTTAACAATTAAAAAATTTTTTAAATACACTATTTTAACTAAACATTTAATTATTTTATGTGGAGTATACTTATTTCAATGTACAATAAAGAACAAATAATGTTCATACAGCTCATCCATATGTTTTTGAATAATTTTTATGGTTTGAAATTATTTTTTTCCAAGTAATGAAGCAGTTTCGATCTGACGTCCCTCGTTCGAAAGGCATTTTGGTTGTTGTCTTCTTTGTTTTCCCACCATTTATCCTGGTAAGTTACATATGATTTCAACATGCTTGTAACATCTGTTTTAGTTGTAATTTGTTTCTAAACATGTATTTTGATAGAGAATTACATTAAGAGTGTCAGTTTTACAGGAGCTGAATTCTTTACAGTAGGTGTCTTTGACTTGTTGGCAATAAATTTCAACAATAAACAGACATCACACAATCCATTTGTTTTGAAATAATATATTCAAAACAAGTCAAATGTATGTATAAAAATATTTGTTGCATTATTGGTTATCATAGTTGTATCCAGAGCTTTAAATAATTCTCTTTTATGTCAAAGGTCCAAACAGGCTTGTTCAATTACTTTAGAACTCAATTGACAAAATGAATTATTCTTGTCTATCTCTGTTATTACAATACAAGCTATGATACTTTCACTTCAGAAATTGCCAGTTACAGCTAAACTAAAGTATAAGTTTTTCACTTTTGCTTTCGCTGACTTGTTTACATGCACTCTGTATTTGCATGTATATATAACACGCAACAGAAAAATCTAGAAATATCTAGCCCTCTAGTAACAACAATATTAAACATAAAAAGAAAAACTTAGAAGCTTCAAGTAAGAAAATGTCAACAAGGTTACAAAAACCTACTACAACAATTAAACTACATACATTAAAATGAACAGTCTTGTATATCCAATATAGATGCTGTGTTTAGGTGTGTTTATTAATCTTATAATTTATCCTGTTCAGTGACATAATGTTTGAATGTAATTGTCTCTGTTTATTTTGTTAAATCATGTGAAGTTAAAATAAAGGTCTTGTTTTGAGTGTTAGTGCAACAGTTACATATCTTATTTTTCATAATTTGGAAAGTCAAATTAACAGGAAAAATACGCAGTGTATCTTTAGCCCATCTTTATTTCTCCTAGATGAAATATGAATAAGATTTGTTGAAGATACCTTTTAACAACTTGTTTCAAAACTAGAAAATAGAAGTGAAATGACAATAGTGAATATAACACATGGTATTACTCATGATTTGTGTCTAGATACCTATCACTTATTCTTTGTGAAAACCTGGTTACATTGTATACTTTATGATAATTGGACAATATATTTAGTATAGTTAGACCTAAAGCCTAATTGCATAAATTTTATTTATTCAAACTTCTTTACAAACAATTCTCCCCCCCCCCCTTTTTTGCTAAAAAAAAACAGAAACAAAGCCATCCAGGTTTCAGTCTTACCTAAACTGCACCACAAAGAAGTTTTTATATATTTTTTTTAATTGTGTTTCTCATTAATAGTATTATATAGGGAGAGTATATCAAATATCAGTTTTCTTTAAGAACAACAAAATTTCTACTGTTAATAATTTTTCTGAATACATGTTTTATTTCTGCATTTGAAAGAAACCTGTAGATAAAAAGGAACAAATTACATTATGAGTGTTGTAAAACATTACTCAATGTAATCACTGTTCATAGCTAATTGATTCAATTGCTCAGTTATACTTACTAACTAATTTTCCATCTAACCAACTGATCTACATCATTCTGTAATACCTCAATATAATGCTATAAATAATGTCATCAGGAAACTTTATTAATTTATTTATTATGCCCTGTCAATAACATTAATGTCAATAATCAAGCATTGGTCTAAACACTAATCTCTAACATAATCCATTATTATCAAGGGTCCAATCTAACTAGACTTTATTGATAACAACATTTTTCCATTTCTTCATCCAGCCACTCTACAGTCCAATTTGCATTGGGTAAGTCAAAGTATAAATGTCACAACCTTTTACAGAGTTACTTTCAAAATGTAATTAAACTACTTTATTATTAGTGTATATAAATAAACTTGGCATCAAAATGTAGTTAACCCTATCATGACAGGTATCTTACTGTGCATGACACAAGGTTTTTGTGTCTTACATTCAAAATTTTATTAAATTACTTTTTTGTTTATGTTATACCAATTAGTATAGCATAAAATCGTAGCTAATAATCCATATTCTAATAGTGTATAAGTTTTAAGTTCTTAATTCTATAAGGCAATATTTTGAAAAATCCTGAATTTCCACTAGTGACACATGTGACCCATTTTCTCTAGGTGTCCTCTCTTCTCTATTTTATCCATCACCCCTCTAAAATTACAAAATTCAAAGTAAATTACTCACTATAAAATCAGCATTGCTCAGACAAACCATAATTTTTATAGCCTTCAGTTTTGTTTGGTTACAGAGCTATTAAACAGACAATCAGACCCCTTTTGTCACATCCTCTCTTTCAGGATTTGGTAATAGTTCTCTCTTATGTTTAATTATATATTACCTATAACCAATAGAAAGCGAAGGTTTTTATCTTTCAAATGACATATTCTGTAACATTGTGTTTTAAACAAATAAGCATCAATTTGTTGCAATTTCCAGGTCTTAACTGTGATAGAGACTTGTATTACTTCTGATAACATTTTGTTACTGCTTCATTTGGTTGACCCTCAATTGTTTCCAATAACCAGATATACCTTAATGAATGAATAGGCTGTGTTTCAAAATGATTTGTTTGGGATATTTTCTTCTTGTCCCAGGATGAAGTCATAGTACTTGATAGAAGCATCATGAAACACATACAATATCAGCCTTAAATCGTCAGAAACCAGCATCATTGTTTTTGAACTATGTATGTATGTGTGTGTGTGTGTGTGTGTGTGGAGGAGGGTGGCTATAGATACATACTAGTGATTACTCATCATTTCTCTGCAGGTGCATGTAACTCCATGCAGCTGCCATCAATATCTTGAAAATGTTGTGTGTAGTAACAGGGGGTATGTTATTGTGTGTTATAATGAAGCATCTTACATAGGAAAATCCATAGGCTTGGGCTATCCACACTATCACTTCATTATCAATACCTGTTGATGCATCAGTGTCTGGATCTAGACATCTTACTGCTGTTATTTTCAGCAGTAATGTTGACAAATCCAAATCCTCGTGTTTTAGTACCAGTTCATGAACTATGTCAACGATTTTCTTTTCAGGGTCTTTCACAGAAATAAATCATTTAATTAAAGATTTTGTGTTCGATGTTTCAATGAGAAACAACGGCATGACAATTATTTGATGATGTGACATACAATTGGTGCTAAACATAAGATAACTTCACAATGTACTTTCAATTAAGTGCATGCAAGGTCATTGTCAATATAAAAAAGGGGGGGTGCTAATCAACACAGTGGGGAAATAAAAATAATATTCAGGCCAAAATTTTTTTTTTATTTTGGCACAAGTTGATATGGGTGGGCTTGTAGCTCTAAAAATAAAAATAAAATTACAGCTTAACACTAACTGTAGTGAAATCATCAACATACAGTAAAATGAAAAGTTGAAAAATATGAAGTAAAATGAACAGTACCTTTTTCTTTTTTCTTTGGATGAATCATTTTGGTGAATTAATGATCGTATCTTCATAGTTTCAATTGTTAACCATTTCATAGGTGTTTTATCTCATTTTTATGGTTTTATTTCTTTAGTTTGTGCCCACTTGAGCAGTCATCCTTTCAAAGGCAATAAAATCACAGTGCGGATAATTTGCATTTTTCATAAACACCATGGACAAAGTGCATTACCTGCATTTCATCTGGAAGTACAAACTGTAAATGTGCTAGGCTTCACTATTTTTTACTGAGATACTATTTCAAATAAATATTCATGTAACTTTTAAGTATCAATCTTAGAACACTATCAGGCACTGAAATAGACAGTCAGAAAAGTACTGTAGTTTAACTAGCTATCTAACTAAGTTATAAACAGGTTAAAAAATTATATTAACTGCCACAAAGTCCAAGTTGAACTAAAAACCTTCATAACCATCATTTGAAACAACTTTCTGCTTCTGCCTACTGAAAATAAATAACAATAAAAAAAGGTTCTGTTAACCAGAAAATTGGGGTATAAAGAAACTAATTCAAAGCTGTGATAAAATAGGAAGACCTTCACTTGTGGGTATTCCAAATATATTTGTATCTCATCAATTTGAGAAGGTAGGAGATTGATATTTTATATTGTGTTCTGTTGATATGTGTAGTTTGTTTCTAATTGATTGTAAGTCTCGGCTACCTACTCTTAAAGAGAGAAATCAAAGCTCAGGTGTCACATAATAAGGGAGAGCGAAGATTCAGAAAATTTTTTATTTCTTTTTGAAATTAAGAACTTAATGCTTAGATATTATAAAACTGAATTATAAACTGTGTATCGATGCCAAACTTATTGACATATATTGATTAAATTCTGAATGTAACTGTGTAAGGAGATCGTGATATGTACACTTTGACCTTTACATATGCATACGGTTGAAAATCTGAGTAACATTAGCATCTTTACAATCTGCATGCACCTGCCTCACTGTTTATTGACCTACCAAAAATTAAAGATAGAGACTTTTGATTGTTCTACAGGTTTTTTGTTTTCCGTTTTCTTTTAATCCTGAGTCTAAGAATACATGAAAATTTATATATAGCTAAAGCACTATAGGAACATAAAATACCTAGCTTCACATTATAAAATTACTTAATATTATAATAATGCTATTATTTGTGATTTCAAGTTATCAGACCACTAAAATGAGTTGTTTTTTTGTATGTTTGTAATGTGTAGGATGTAAACATGTTTGTACATTGATGTAGCTCCAGACCACCGGTTGCATATGAGTGTATTTGTATTTTAAAGCCTATTACACAAACTTCTAAATGAAAATAACACATATTGTAACACTGTTACTCATAATTCTTAGACAAACATTTAAGTATTTTCATAGTTCTATTTTTTCTATTTTTGTGGATCACACTGAAAACATATTTCCCAAAATTACAGCCTTCTTATAAGAAAAAAATTTATTGTTTAAAAGATATACAGGGTTTGCACAAGTGGTTATAAAATCTGGAACTCCTGAAATTAAACTTTTGCATTTCCAAACCTAGAAATTACTGAAATTTCATTGTTGGTGCTTTACAAGTTCTTAAGCTTTCA